AGGAGGAGGAGGAGGAGGAGGAGGAGGAGGAGGAGGAGGAGGAGGAGGAGAGTGAGAAGAAGGAAAGCATGGGGGGTAAGATCTGAAAGGGGAAGAGGAAAAAGAAGAACATTCAAATCTGGTGAAATTTCTGTGAAGGAGAAGCACAATGAATGCAGAGGAATGAATGGTGGATGAATGAAAAAGGTCATACATACTGTGAGATTGTCAGCTGTTGGAACCAGTGCTCCCAGATCAATCAGGGCAGCCATGACCTGCACAGAGACAAATGACATGATAGTATTTTTTTACTATTTTAGTAATTTCACTTATCACTCGCACAGCATCACATCTAATACGGTCCAGACTTTTTTTCCATTGAAAAAAGAAAAGGAAAGAAATATACTTTTTTTTTTTAAGTTTTTTTGGGGGGAAAAGCCAGTCATCCTGTCTTTGAACTTCCAACTTCGAAAAAAGGCTTCCCAGCCCGCTAGTGACGCTGCCCCGGCCTTAAAAAAAAAAAAAAAAAAAAAAAGTGTACGTGCACAAGGCTTAGGGCATACTTTTTTTGTTTTGTTTTTTTACCAGAATACTGGCAGCCTGTAGACGAGCAGGCTTGTTATGCTTACCAAGGATTGCATCTTAGCGTTGTAGTTTCTCTGGGTTGATAAAAGTCAAAAAAAAAAAGAAAAAAAAGTCACTGGAAGTGCCAGCCTACTTGTTTTTTTTGTTTTTTTTTTCAAAAAGGAACACTGGCAGCCTCATGGCATATGATCCAGGCACTCCGGCCTGGTTCATATGACGGCTGCTTTTGGATTATAAAAGCCAGAAAACGGGTCCAGCGTCCCTCACATCATGAAAAAAGCTCAACGAAACGAACAAAATAAGAAGTGTACACGAATACCCTAACTACGCATAACAGTAATATCAAACCTACGCCACCAAGACCCAACAGCAAAACAAAGTGCACTCATCCACTAGTAACCCCCCTGCAGAACCACCCTGCCACCCGCACGGCAGGGGTCAGGGGATCAGTTTTAGGAGTTTTAGAGTGAATCAGGGCGAAAGTCTTGGAACTACTAGCAGCGGCGCCACCTGCAGCAGTGTGAGTGCAACGAGGGGCGGTGGTAAAGCTACTGGCCAGGTGGTAAGTGAGAACGGGGGAAGAGCAAACTGGAGTTGTTCCCATTGAGATCAATATGCCATGAAGATCCACGGGAGAGTGCCAGTGGTGGGAAACCCGTCATGGCAGCTCGGGCTCTTTACAGAGTGTTTGGAAAGGCGTAAGGAGAGAGTAGCCCTGATGGAGAAGAGGGATTTTGTTGGCACATGACTTTGTCTTGGCTCCTAGATTAAAAAAAAAATGGCGTATGATCCAGGCACTGGTTCATACGACGGCTGCTTTTGAATAATATAAGCTGAAAAAGGGGTAGGGCATCCCTCACATCATAGAAAAGGCTCAACAAAGCGAACATACTTACACTAGGGGCGAGGTCCCACTAGCACCGGGATAGGATAGAAACGAGTTTGTGGGGCCAGTTGAGTGACCCAAATCCTACCGTGCACTACTCGTGATCCCACCGTCAGTATTTTACATGTATTACCCGAAAAAGTAAGAAGATCTTCGTTCCCCTCCTCCTCTCCTTAACACTGGGCATGCCCGTGCAAAGGCAGCTTCCCGCCAGAATCTTTTCAATTGGTTGGGGGTGTGGCCAACCCCAAACGAGGTTGGGGTCGGCCTTAGCCCACTGGATAGAAGATTTTCAGCATTTTACTTGCTGTTGTGCAATTATCTCATTGGGTGGAGCCCTCCTTCAATCACGGACTATATGGAGGGTGTCAGGATCACTGCTGACAGAAGTCGATTTTATTCCAAAAAAATGTGGCGGTTACTTTGTTCAGTGTATTTGCAACCACCGCCATCAGATCATTTGTGATCTGATGGCTGGGAAGCACTCTGCGGTGATTTCCAGTGGGAGGTCTCTGTGTCTTTTTATTTTTTTTGCCTCTCCTTTTATTCTCAG